CTCAGTGCCTGTAGCAAAGTCACATGCACTGAGGCTGGCAGGTTCAAACCCGGCCTGGGCCAACTAAACAACAATGACAACTGCAACAAAAAAAGTAATCGGATGTTGTGGCGAGTGCCTGTAATCCCAGCTACTTGGGAGGCTGAGGCAAGATAATCACTGAAGCCCAAAAGTTTGAGGTTGTTGTGAGCTGTGATGCCATGGCACTCTACTGAGGGTGACATAGTAAGACTCTGTCTCAAAAAAAAAAAAAGTATGTTGACGACTATATCCTTCAAACATTTCTAATGAATTAACCAACAATTGGAAGAGGGGAATAAATGGCTTTAGAAAGCTGTTGGGCTCTTGACCTCTATACTATGACTTGTAAATCATCCCAGATTAAATCTAGAAGAGAAATACTCAGAAGACTTGTGTTCTAAGTCTTCTTATGGTTTTCAGTGACATTTTCTAAACATATAATAAGCATATTGTAACTAATCAACACCCATGTGCCCACCATTGAGATTAGGTATAATAAAAGGTTACAGACAGAGGCAGCCTTTTCTTTTGGTATTCCATCCTGCTGGCATTCCTTTCTTTCCTCAAAGATGACTGCTATATTTTCACACTTTTGCTTTATATGCAGGTATCCCAAAATAATATGTGTGATTTAAACATTTACACAATAGTACCATTGTGTACAGTCATTCTACAACTTGCTTTATTTTTCCCTTAAAATTATATTTTTGGGATTCCCCCATGTTTTATGTGAATATCTAGTTAACTTATTTTAACTGTTAGTTGGAATGTATATCCATTCTCAGTTGATTGCAGAGTGTTGCTTGCATTGTGTTGCTATTATAAACAATGCTGCAATGAACTACTTCATGCAGCTCTCCTGTCAATGTGTGCAAGGGTTTCTTCAGGATTCATATGTAGAAGTGGAATTAGCAAAGTTAGCTTTACCACATTATTGTCAAATTGCCCTCTAAAGAGATGGTGTCAATTTACAATCCTATCAGCAGTGTAAGAAATACACTTTCTAATACCTCATTTTGTCAGCCTATAATATTTTTGCACTCTGATAGGTATAAAATTGTATTGTGATTTAATTTTTATTTCTCTAATTGTTAATAGGATTGAGCATCTTTTCATGTTTATTGGTCATTGTGATTTCCTCTTCTGTGAAGTACCTATTAATATTTCTCCACTTTTCTCTTGGGTCATTTGTCTCTTACTGATTTGTAGGATGTTCCATGTTCCTCCCACCTTTAAAGATCAACACTTTACCTTCTGTCCTAGCATGGACATTCGAACCTCAGATCTTAGGTTCTAGAGTCTGAGCTTGGGTCTAAAATTCAGGGAGGCATTCATCTTATTTTAACTTTAGTTTGATTTCTCCCCTCCCTCCCCTTTTGGATCTCACAGATGTCAATGAGAAAGAAACCAAACTCTGTAAAATAATTTAAAGAGATTTATTCTGAGCTGCATGTTTGTGATCATTGCCTGGAGAGCCATGCCTAAGAAGCCTTGAGCAAGTGGTCTCAGCGTGGTTGGGTTACAGTTTGGTTTTGTACATTTCAGGGAGACAGAAATTACGTGTAAAGTCACAAATCAGTACATAAAGGTATACATTGGTTTGGCTCAAAAAGGCAGGATATCCTGGAGCAAGCCATTACAGGTTGTAGGGGGGTTTAAAGATTCTCTGACTTGTGATTGGTTGAAGAAATGAAACTTTGTCTGAACTTCGGCTTGGAATGTTTTAAGATAAGGAAATCAGTTAATGAGAGACAAGCCAATGGAAATAGACTGGACATATATCCAAATTCAAGTGATCTGTTAGGTAAATTGATAACCTGCCTTCAAGTGTAGTTTAAACTTTGTCTTAGGCCTTAGACTTAGGCCTGTTAATGAGTTACAGAGGATATCTCTAAGAAGGGAGGGTGGCATGATGGGGCAGATCTGACTTTTCTTCTCATGGCCAACTCAGCATTGGGGTATTTCTGAGGTCCTCTTGGCCAACAGGGATCCATTTAGTAGTCAGCTGGAACGCAAGGTTTTATTTTAGTTCACACAGAAAATTCCTCCCAAATCAGAGATACAAAGTCTCATTCTCCTTAAGGGAAGGTGTGGGTGTGGGTATGATGGGGCCGGGGAGTCCTGTTGTAGGCAGCCTGGAATAGTAAACCACACAGCTCAAGTTTAACCTGAAAGTAAATATCACCTAACTGCCAAACAGATAGATGTTGATGATGATATAAGTACTCTAAGTAATTGGGTCATGTGTCTCTTTGCAAATATAGTTCTTAAATACTTTTCCTTTCCAGATGTTCGTTCCAAACGGGAGTATGATGAAAGCCATGTGATTACAGCCCTTCGAGTGAAGAAGGTATGCCTCTGAGTTGGAGTTTGGGGCAGGCCAATTACCTTGCAGGAGAGTGAGGAAGAATAGGAGGTTTTATCCTAACTCTAGAAGTTGACACCTACTACGGGACACTGGCAAGCAGAGGCAGACATTCCCTAAGGTGTTCAACCCCCCTATCATTGGGACAGTAGATCCATTCAACAAATATTGATCTAATTCCCTGATGTGCCAGACCCTGGGGGTACAACAGAATGCAAAATGCCCTTAGGACATTGTCTGTGCCATCATGGAGCTTCTATTCTACTCAGTGAACAGAGGACAAACTTTAGAGATATTTACTGTAACCCAAAGATGAAAGCACCCCTCTTTTCCTTCCCTCCCTCTCTTTTCCTTCTCATCTTCCTTCACCATTCTAACAGGTGGATGGAGCCCTGTGTACAATCACCATGGCCCCCTCTTGCAGTGAGGCCTTTTTCTCCACCCCTCCAGGTGCCTTCTCTCTCAGGTCATTGCCCAGCTGGGCAGCCTTCACTCAGGAACCATCCCTAGGCTCTGCATTCTCTGAACACGTTCTCTGTCCTTGACCTGGAGGTTCTCTCTCACCACCCGGTTTCTTCTCTATCTCTTTGGTTCAGCTGCATTTTCTCCTGGTGCTGCCCAAAGATAACCCCTGGACTGTCTTCAGTCTCCTTCCTGTCTGGACTTTCTTGTCAGAGATTGCACCCAGGCTTGTAGCTTCCAGAATGTATGCATGTGCAGTTACTGGGCCTGAAAAGTTTCTTCTAAAATTTTGTCTTGCGAAACTCTCTCCCACCCCTATTCCTGCTGCCATTGCATTGTTGTGCACCCCAGATCTGGTTCTTTTCCTACACATAACTTGGCAGGGAGTAGGGACCCTGGCTTGAATACTTTTTCAGGGTGAGCTTGCTGCTTAACAGCCCTGCCCTCTGATTTCTCTGTCCCGGTCAATCATTATCTACTTTTTGTTTTCTCCTTGGATTTTCAATTCTAGCCATACTCTAGCTCTTAACCCCTATTTTAGGCCTATTTTTGCCTTTTGCAACCTCCTCAGAGCCCCTCATGACGTAGGGGTCTCACTCCCCACTCAGCTGTCAAACCTGCATATTTCTTTGATTCTGGCAGCATCCCCAGCCTCAGTTCCTCTGGATCACTCATTCAGGCTGAAACCTCTCACCTCCCCTCCCTATCTAACTAGCTGAGGCCTTAAGGGAGTCCTCAGCCCCAGCAGGATATAAAGCCTACCAATTCAGAGTTCACAGCCTTTTTGGATCTGATTCCACCTCTTTCTGTAGCCTTGTGTCCAGCACGTTGTCACCCTCACCCGACATCTAAACAGCATTATACTGCCACGTTTCCTGGGTACTGAGCTACAAATATTTCCTCCACACTTTAACATTTTTTTTGAAATTGGAATACATCTGTTGTCAGTACATGCCACCCTCTTTGGAGGGGAATGCCTCTTCTCTGATCTGAAGTAATATCCACAACCCTGGCCACAGTGACTGACCATGGGTCTGGGGTGAAACCTGAGGCAATCAGCATTGAAATTAGAGAAGGGTGCCTCTTTCCAACCTGGTAGTGGAGTTTGCAAGATGGGAATGTGAGCCTTGCTGGTGGCTGTGCTCAGGAGAAGATTATCTGAGGAGGGGAAGTCAACATGTGGCAGAAGCAGAGAGGAGGGCAGCCCAAGAGAAGTCTGGGCTTTAGGATTCCAACTTCAGGTTTTCCTTGAAACCACCTGTACCCTGCTATGCCTAGAGTCTTGTTATATGCCACTATATGCCCTCTTTTTGTGCATAATCCTGATTACTATATTATTAAATTGGTAGCACATCTCACAATGATGTCTTAAAATCTGGTGAAAATCTGTGGCTCCCTTTACACACTGTGCTCTCGGGCCTCCAGACCTTTGCTCTGAGTACAGGGATATGTCTGCTTTACTTGCTATATCTTAGATGCTTTTCTATCCCCACGGTCTGGTAAGTGCTCAGTACTTATTTGTTGACTACAACAAATGATTGGAAGCTGCTCCTTCTGCCCAGAACACTCTCCCATCCTCATCCAGCTGGCAAATTTCCTTGCAGTCTCATCTTCAATGTCTCTTGCTCCATGCAGCCTTTCTGAGTCCTCCAGGCCAACTTAAGTATTTCTCTACTCTTCTTTGAACCTCTCTATTTCAGAGCCTAGCACAGCATAGCTGTGAAGTTGGTGCCCAGTGAACATTTATTGAATGAACAAGTGAATGTCCAGCCTCATTTCTTCTTGCTCATCTACCTGTTCCAGTCTCTGTGGGCTGGTCACATCTCTACCTCTCTATGCCTTGCTGGGGCTCTTCTCCATCTTCCTCCTCAGTACCTCTATCAGTCCTGCTCAACCTCTGAGGGCCAGCTCATTGGTGTCTTCTTGAACTCTCTCCTAATTCCTTTAGACAAATAAGATTTCTCCTCTTTGAGTCACAGAAAACCTCCTTGGTCTGCACTTCCATTGTCCTTATCTTACTGCCTTGAAGTAGTAAATTTGCACTTGCTAATCCTCTGTCAGAGTCTCTAGATTAGGTGCCCAGGGACAAAATTAGGCTCAGTTTTCCCTGAGTCATGCAGGTTTGCAGGGACCAGAGTGAACAAGAGAGAACTAGACTCTCAGCTGCCACCCAGCCAGGCCACTTGGAGCTGTGAATCAACTGTTAGAGTCCTGTGTGGTTCTAGTACTGTGAGATTGCATCCCCTTCCTAGGTGACCTGTGGCTAAAGCCACAGTATGGTATCTGTTGTTCTTGCCCTTGAAATCTATTGTTACAGTGACTCGACTCGGCACTTCTTGACTCTACCACTCACTAACTCCTCTCTACTTCATGGGTTCTGTTAGCCTGTACATTTGTTTAACCATATTTATGCCCACTATGTGCCAGACACTTTATAGAACCTGTACATCAGTAAATAAAAAAAGGACAAAAATACCTACTCATACAGAATTTACATTTGATCATATAGTCTGCCCCAGCAAGGTGTAGAGACCCCACAGAGGGTCTGCTTGCTCATGATGTTTGCTCAGGTCTTCTGTTTACTGCCCTCTTTATGGGTGTTTTTGGATCCAGTCCCCATGCCCTATGAGAGAGGCTGTCACTAATCCAGCTGGCCATGGTTGCTCTGATGCCAGGACACCTAATAGGCTGTGAGCAGTTATCAGTCCAGTTGTTCTTGGCCAAGTACTTATCTCTGGACCAATCCACTGCACTCTGCTTTTCACAGAAGGGGATGCAGGTGTGGAAGATGTTTGGGATTTAAGATTCTCAGGTCCACCTCCCAGTGGTCACCCCCAGGCTTCCATGCCTGAGTGTGTAGTCAGGGGGAAGTGCAGTCCTGGTGCCTCCCAGTACTACTGTGCAGGGAACGCTTGCTTAACAGAACCCATCCACCACCTGGCCTCTTTTGTGGTTTCCCTAGAGGGGGAATGAGTATCTTATCCCAAAGTCTGTGGATCTGGAGTGTGTAAAGTACTGTGTAGTGTATGATTACAACAGCAGCGCTGTGGAGGTGTCCTTAAGCAATGACGATGACAACAATCACAACAATGACAACAACCACAACAATGACAACAATGACAACAATGACAACAAGCACAATGATGATAACAATCACAACAATGACAACAACACCTCTGATTCTGGCCAAGGTGAGTTTTTACAACAGCAGCAAGAATAATAGTTAACGGTTACTGAATGCTTTTGCCATGTGCTAGGAGTGATGAGGTCAAGTGCTTCACCTTAGTCCATTCATGCAGAATAACCATACTAGTATGGTGATGTCATGAGTTCTGAGGGGTCTGAGATCTCACCCTCTCTGAAAGACAATAAGTGAGACTGCCACAGTTTCTTAGATACTGGCAGAGACATAAGACTCCTGGGTTGGAGACAAAGGACTTCATTATTCAGAGCAAAAGAATTAGCCAGAATGTCATTATTTTCTTGCATTGGTTTTCCAAGCCCCAATTCATATTCTCTCTCTCTCTCTTTTGGGGGGAGATAGTCTTGCTAGAGTATAACGGTGCAATCATAGCTCACTGCAACCTCAAACACCTGGGCAATCATGAGTAGCTGCATCACCACACCTGCCTCACTCTCCTGAGTAGTTGTACCACCACAACCAGCTAAGTTTTTCTACTTTTTGTGGAGATAGGGGTGTCTCTCTGCTGCCCAGGCTGGTCTTGAACTCTTGGCCTCAAGTGATCCTCCCACCTAGGCCTCCCAAAGTACTACAATTACAGGAATAAGCTACCATGCTTGGCCTCAAGCCCCAATTCTCATAGGGTAACAGGAAGAGGCCCAGGTGACACCTATATACACAGCAGGCTACATTATAGAAGAGCCCAGAGCTTAAGGGGCCTGAATCTTTTTTAATGGGCAGAAAAGAGGGAAAAACCTATCTTCCAAGATTATTATATAAATACAGTAGAACCTCTCTAAGTTGACTGTAACAAACTGATTAACACATGGAGGTGGCAAACATAAGGAACTAGGCCTCCTATACGGCTGCATACACGCGGTGCGTAGGTCAAAGGTGGACGTGGTCAAAGTAGGGAGGTGATCAACTATGGAGGCTGTAATGTATCTTGAAAAGATAATTTGGAATGAAGGAAGCCAGTGCCTTTCTTTGTTCTTTTTTGAAGTGTGTGAGGCCATGGTGAATTGTCTAACATATAACACTACCCCTGTTTTAAGGATGGGGAAACTGGGTCCTGGAAGGGTGAAGTAACTCACCCAAGATCTCCCACCTAGGGAATTAGTTATTTATTGCTGGGTAACAAATTACGCCCAAACTCAGCAACTGAAAACAATGAGCAGTAATTGCCTCACAGTTTCTGTGGGTCTAGAATTCAGGAGCAATTTAGCTGGGAGGTTCAGGCACAGGGTTTCTCCTAAGGTTGTCATCAAGTGGGGCTGTTGTCCTCTGACGGTTTGGGCCAGGGTGACCAGCATCCAAAAGTACTCACCTGGCTATAGCCAGGAGGCCTCAGGTTTATTCTGACTGTTGGCAGGAAGCCTCAGTTCCTTACCATACAGACCTTTTCATGGGACCGCTGGGTGCACCACATAAGGCAGCTGGTTTCCCCCAGAGCAAGTGACCTGAGAGAGAGGTGAGAACAATCAGGAAGCTACTTGCCTTTTATGACTTAGTCTCAAGACTTACACACAGTTACCTCTGCTACATCCTGTTTAATAAAACCAGGTCATTAAGTCTAGTTCATCCTTGTGAAGGGGGCAGTTAGGCTTGACCTTTTAAAGGTGTTTGGACTTTTTTTTTTCACTATTGTTCAGCATTCATTGAGGGTACAAAGAACCAGGTTGCATTGATTGCATTTGTTAGGTAAAGTCCCTCTTATAATTGTGTCCTACCCCCAAAAGGCGTATCATACACCATGACCCCCACCCCTCTTCCCTTCCCCCACTCCTTCCTCCTTCCCTTTCTCTGCTCTTCCCTTCCCCTACCCTTTCCTTATTCCTTCTCTCTGCTATCCCCTTCCCCCAACCCCCACCACATACTAAGTCATTAACTGTCCTCATACTAGTATTGAGTACATAGGATTCTTGCTTCTCCATTCTTGTGATGCTTTGCTAAGAAGAATGGGTTCCACTTCCATCCAGGTTAATATAAAATATGTAAAGTCTCCATCTTTTCTAATGGCTAAGTAATATTCCATGGTATACAGATAGCACAGCTTATTAATCCATTCCTGGGTTGGTGGGCATTTAGGCTGTTTCCACATTTTAGCAATTGTAAATTGAGCTGCAATAAACAGTCTAGTGCAAGTGTCCATATGGTAAAAGGATTTTTTTCCTTCCAGGTAGATGTCCATTAATGGGATTGCAGGATAAAATGGGAGGTCTAGTATGAATTCTTTGAGGGTTCTCCATACATCCTTCCCAAAAGGTTGTATTAGTTTACAGTCCTACCAGCAGTGTAGGAGTGTTCTCTTTTCTCCACATCCACGCCAGCATCTGCAGTTTTGAGATTTTGTGATGTGGGCCATTCTCGCTGGGGTTAGATGAAATCTTAGGGTGGTTTTGATTTGCATTTCTCTAATTTTAGGGACAATGTTTGGACATTTTTGAAGTGGCAAGGGCAGGATTCAAACCCAGGTTAAAGTGTGGTCAGTTCCAGTGTGCTTCATTGAACCCTGAAACTGCTGTGTTCTCCATGTAGTCCATAATTTTGGGCTGACCACCCCTAACTGTTGTCATGGATGGTTCTTCTTGTCACTCAGTGGCTATTTATTTATTTATTTTTGGGGGGACAGAGCCTCAAGCTGTCCCCCTGGATAGAGTGCTGTGGCATCACAGCTCACAAGCAATCTCCAACTCCTGGGCTCAAGCGAGTCTCCTGCCTCCGCCTCCCAAGTAGCTGGGACCACAGGCACCCATCACAACGCCTGGCTATTTTTTTTGGTTGCAGCCCTCATTGTTGTTTGGCGGGGCCGGGCTGGATTCGAACCTGCCACCTTAGGTGTATGTGGGTGGCACCTTAGCCACTTGAGCCACGGGCGCCAAGCCGCTAATTATTAATAATATGTGTGGGTGTAGTTGCAGAAGCCCACTCACACTGTCTGCCATTGGGTGGCGCTAAGTTCCTACCTTTAATAAATCCTGCTGTCTGGACTTTCTTCCCAGGAGATGCTTTGCCAGGAAATTGACCCTTCTTCTCTAAGCTCATTCTGTTGGGCAGCGGTCTACAGTGGAATTGTAGACTTGACCCTAGGAAACGGTGCTCAATAAAGACAACCTTCTTCCATTCCTATAAATGACCTCCCTGTGCTATGGGACCCCCATTTTTAGGAAACCATGATCACACAACTTGTCCACTTAAAGCAAATGTTCTTTTTTTTTTTTTTAGACAGAGCCTCAAGCTGTCCCCCTGGGTAGAGTGCTATGGCTTCACTGCTCACAGCAACCTCCAACTCCTGGGCTTAAGCGAGTCTCCTGCCTCAGCCTCCCAAGTAGCTGGGACCACAGGCACCGGCCACAACGCGTGGCTTTTTTTTTTTTGGTTGCAGCCATTATTGTTGTTTGGCGGGCTCGGACTGAATTCGAACCCGCCACCTTAGGTGTATGTGGCTGGTGCCTTAGCCACTTGAGCCACAGGCGCTGAGCCAAGCAAATTTTCTTGTTTTAAATGGCACATGCTGGCTTAGCACCCATAGAACAGTGGTTATGGTGCCAGACACATACACTGAGGCTGACGGGTTTGAAACTGGCCTGGGCCAGCTAAACAATGACAACTGAACAAAAAATAGTCAGGCATTGTGGCAGGTGCTTGTAGTCCCAGCTATTTGGGAGGCTGAAGCAAGAGATTGCTTAAGCCCAAGAGTTTGAAGATGCTGTGAGCTGTGACACCACAGCACTCTACCCAGGGCAACATAGTGAGATTCTGTCTCAAAAAACTAAATAAAATAAAATAAAATAAAATGGCAAATGCAAAGTCTTCGGGGTACAAAACCGTCTGAAGTTTTCTATCACTACTCCCTTCTACTTTCAACAGTTAAATACCTATTTCCTCAATACTCAAGGAAATATGGGTCGGGGAGCCTTTATTACCACCTAGAAGTAAGCATAAGATATCCTTTCCTGCTGGCCCCTGGGTGAGGTGCAGTTCAGCCTGAGTGGCTTTGGCCGTGAGTCTTTGTCCTTGATATAACTGTAGCTGAAATCCCAAGGATGGTGGACGTCATGAACTTCTCTGCACCTGGCAATTTGTGGCAGCTGCTCAGGGGAACTCAGCCCTGTGCCCTCCTGCCCTGGTGTCCCACCTGCACTTCGCAAGGGTTACTAATCTCCAGGCCCCACTGAATCTCCCCTCAGTCTCCATGTCAGGCTGACCACCCACCTTCTCTGCCACGGGGGCCTAGGAATCCCACGTGGGAAATGGGACACAGCTGTTTTTAGCTACTTACCACCATCTCCAGCCTGTGTCTCCCTCCTCAGCTGGGTCTCTCTTCTTAGGCACCCAGTGTCTTCCCTGTCTTAACCTCTGGGACTTTCTCTCCAAACACTCCCCTTTTATGAGAGAGGTTTCTCTTGTGTTAGATCATCCTTCCTTACAACAAACAAAATGGATTACAGACCCCAAGCCAGGCTTTGACATCTGAGGGGAAGCTTTGGGAATTTAGGGATTCTTTTTCCTCCTCTCAGCAAAGTCCCCCTCTCATGACAATTGGCTAGCTGAGAACACATCATAATTTAAATTAAAGTTCTCCCCTCCCAAGCATGGACCTCTTGTTCTGGGTGATGTCCTCCCTCCCCTTGAAGCATTAGGCGCCCAAGTATAGAGTGTGGGAAACCTCAATGGGAAACTCAGGATGAATGGGAAGAAAAATTTGAATTTAGTTTCACAAATCTAAGCTCTATCATATCCTTCCTTTAGAAAACCACTACTTTCCCATAAGGGGTTATTACTGCTATTGAAATGCATCTCCTTCTAAGAAAGCAGAGCCTGACCTCCCCTGGATCTCTTTGGCAGGGTAGCCTGGGCTCTGCTATAGTCCCCAACTGTCCCCTGGAAATTGGCCTTCCTCTGGCTCTGCCTGTCATCCCTGAATGTGAATAGGACTCTAGTGGGTCTTGTGACAACAGTGGGGAAGCAGCTGTCTGGCCTAAAGGCAGCAGCAGTGTGGCCTCCCCTGTCCCCCCACTCCCTTGGACCTTCTAGCCTTTTGCTCATGAGTGATATTGCAGGTGTCTGTTTTCCTGACTCAATGACTTCTGAGCAGGCCATCCCTCTGGGTTGTGGCTTCTGTTCTCTCTCAGCTAGCTACAGAACCCAGACTCTTTCTCTGAATGCAGCTGCTCAGACAGGTCCTAGGCCACTTATGTCCTCAGCAGCCTCTGCTGGAACTGTCCTTGTATCCTGGAACAATATTTTATATAAAAGTCAGAGTCCACGTCCTTTTCTTTCTGCTTTTAACTGGCTCTCCTGATCCCACTCTGGGCCAGATCCTCTGCATATATGGCTTAGCCTTAATTATGCAAACTTCCTGTCCCATATCTAATTTGCATGCCATCTAATAGTGATTCTGTAGATCAGTAAAGGGCTTTAAGTTTTTTTTTTTTTTTTTTTGTAGAGACAGAATCTCACTTTGTCACCCTCGGTAGAGTGCCGTGGTGTCATACAGCTCACAACTCCTGGGCTTACGCATTTCTCTTGCCTCAGTCTCCCAAGCAGCTGGGACTATAGGCGCCTGCCACAATGCCCAGCTATCTTTTTGTTGCGGTTTGGCTAGGGCCGGACCCACCAAACAAC